ATCTGTTTGTATGTAATAACACCACCAACTCAGTTCTCTCCGTTATGTGTAACACAAGTAATCTGCCCTTGTTTATCTGTTTGTATGTAGTAACACCACCAACTCAGTTCTCCGTTATGTGTAACACAAGTAATCTGCCCTTGTTTATCTGTTTGTATGTAATAACACCACCAACTCAGTTCTCCGTTATGTGTAACACAAGTAATCTGCCCTTGTTTATCTGTTTGTATGTTTGTATGTAACACCACCAACTCAGTTCTCCGTTATGTGTAACACAAGTAATCTGCCCTTGTTTATCTGTTTGTATGTAATAACACCACCAACTCAGTTCTCCGTTATGTGTAACACAAGTAATCTGCCCTTGTTTATCTGTTTGTATGTAGTAACACCACCAACTCAGTTCTCCGTTATGTGTAACACAAGTAATCTGCCCTTGTTTATCTGTTTGTATGTAATAACACCACCAACTCAGTTCTCCGTTATGTGTAACACAAGTAATCTGCCCTTGTTTATCTGTTTGTATGTAATAACACCACCAACTCAGTTCTCCGTTTACAAATGTAACGAACATAAGACTGATCCTATGTTTAATGTTTAAGTAGACATCGGTTCATTTCTTTTTAAATGAATAATGATAAGTGGAAACATAAAGACGTAATAATTAGTACTAATTTATGAACATTACAGTGCTACTCCCCACCCAGACCTTTAACCACGTGGTAATGTGTGATCAAAACTGTAAAATCGTGGTTAACTTAAACAATATGCATACAAGGTGTGGAAAAAGAGGTTCACAACATGCATGCATTGACACATTTTTCGTTGTTCCCTGATATTAACGAAATTAATTTGTGTAAACTAGGATAATGGATATAATATTTACAAATGAACTGCTTTCTGAGATCGGCATACAACCGTCATATTAGTAAGAAATGCTATTCTCTACAGTGTTTAAATCAGTGAGTGAGTGAGTTATTATTTAACGTCACATCGGCAATATTTCAGCCATATCGTGACGAGAACATATTTGATTTTGAAGTGGAATATATGTATAATATAAAAACCTGTCGACGAAGGACAGTAAAACAACTAAAAATATCACAATTAGAATTAAACTAGCGTGGAAAGTTTAAAACTAACAGCACTATAGGGACAACACATGTCGTGTTGAAACAGCTCTCTCTGTCAGTTAAAAAGCGAGTGAGTTAAAGTTTAACGTCACATCGGCAATATTGCAGCCATATCGTGACGAGAACAGTTGATATCAATAGGCAAATCAATAAATGTATAACGTAATAATCTGTCATCGAAGGACATAAAAACAACTAGAATATCACAGATATACATGTAAAACTAGTAATTAAATCTAAAACATTCTAACTATAGGGGACAACACAATATAAAAACAGGCTATAGATCTCCAACAACAGAAGGTAGATCACCATACTAGGGACCATGGGGACTTACAGTACCTTTGCTACCTGCATGGACCCTAGTTGGATTTACACCATCCCTTCAGCCGTTGGCGATTATAAGAAATGTTAGCCAAAATTAAAATAACAAGAAAACTACGTTTAAAAATCCTGGTAAGATTGAATTGACTTTCAAAGTTTTGGGATTTACGTACCCTCTCAGGGGGACAATAGTTTTACGATACTTCAACCCCCCTTGAGGGTACAGCCACTAACAGTCTAAGTTACTAATCAAACTACCAATCATTAAAACACATCTATCTACAGAACATATTTATCAAAATTCATTAATTAAATCAATTTCTTTTAAAAAGCAAGAATTAAATGAAGATGAACAGTATTAAAAGATCCTTAACAGTTTTAACATTGAAATATTTATCCCTTATGATGGAGAATTCAACACAGTCAAGCAGACGATGCGTGTTTAAATCACAAAACTGACAAATTCTGTGTTGCTGTGATGTATCCATATATCTTCCCGAGGTGAGGTGAGGTGAGGTGAAATTGGGTTTAACGTCGTGCTTGAGAATGAATAAAGCAGATGCTTACCAGAACATTGTCTGTCCTAGTTGGTCGTTGAGTTTTGACATTTCTTTGAATATCCTGCTACAGTTTCAACAATCAGTTTCGTCAAGTATTTCGTCGTCCTCATTTTGACAGAAACAGTTAATGGATACCTTCCACATTCTCAGAAACAATTGAAGTAGATGTACTATGGTTCAGACCAACGGGTCGTTTTATATACGCATAAATGTACGTTTTCTATTACATGAAACATTTCTAATCCCCAAACCTCTGTTTCACATAACAAGATTGGAATGTTCTGGGTGTTTTATTTAAAAATCTTGAAGAATGTACGATAGGATATTTCAAGGACTTTCATTTTCTGAAGAACTCAAATTAAGATATTCTTAGCTTGTACAACGCTTGATTACATACATTTTCAATGACATTCTTCTTCTATAATATACACCTAAATACTTACAGAACGATACAACACCTTATGGACTATTTTTTTAAATCTTTTAACTGTTTAAAAAATACCAATCCCTTTTATGTCATTTTAAATTTCATTTTTTGCAAAATTAATTGTTATTTATTGTATATTATATTCCTGTACAGAGTTTACCTGAACTGTTTACCCGGAGTTACCAGTGATAATCCTGTCTGACTGGAGGGGCCATCTGGTATAGTGTAGTGGTTAAAGCGTTAGCACGTCACGCCGAAGCCGTCGATTTGGGTATTGCTATTCGCATAAAACAACTCACTCACAACTAGTTGGAACAACTCAGCAACACTTTCACATTTACGCGTATATAAACTGACGTACAAAAGAAAGTACACACCTGATGCTTTGGTAAAATGATTTCCTGAAAACAGCGAAATATTTAGAACAGTGTTTTGATTGCCACTTACAAGTCACACACATTGTGTACGTGTTGCAATAAAACCATAGTTATCGAACCCAATTGGAACATTGCTAGCAAAATATTTACGTTGCTATAATAGTCTCAAAACACCAGGTGTGTACTTTCTTTTGTACATCAGTATAAAAATGGTCACAAAGGATACGGAACAGAAAGACATAAACAATTATTTACCAGGAAGTAACTTACGACGGGGGACACCAGAAATGGTATATAAATAGAAACGACTAAACCCTTTCCAAGTATGTATTTGCTTCAGCAGTATTTTAGCTGTACGATGTTGTCTGGAGCAGACAATCCAGTGATTGTCACGATCCGATACGATAACAGAGCATGATTGTGTTGCTGATACCAGGTGTTCGCGAAAGGTGAGCGTATAATGAATAGACAGTAAATACAAATGACAACGTTGCACACAGTTAATGCTACTCCGTCAGTCACAACATCGAACACCCTGTCAAATAAACCGGAAGGTATACATTTTAGGTAACAACCCGTCAAATAAACCATTAGGTATACATTTAAGGTAACACCCTGTCAAATAAACCGGAAGGTATACATTTTAGGTAACACCCTGTCAAATAAACCGGAAGGTATACATGTTAGGTACCACCCTCTCACACCTTCTCCAAGGTGCATACCTTCCGGAAGGTATACATTTTAGGTACCACCCTCTCACACCTTCTCCAGTGCGGCAATATTTGCACCCCTTCCGGAAGGTCTACATTTTAGGTACCACCCTCTCACACCTTCTCCAGTGCGGCAATATTTGCACCCCTTCCGGAAGGTCTACATTTTTAGGTACCACCTGTCTCTCACACCTTCTCCAGTGCGGCAATATTTGCATCCCTTCCGGAAGGTATACATTTTAGGTACCACCCTCTCACACCTTCTCCAGTGCGGCAATATTTGCACCCCTTCCGGAAGGTCTACATTTTAGGTACCACCCTCTCACACCTTCTCCAGTGCGGCAATATTTGCACCCATACCGGAAGGTCTACATTTTAGGTACCACCCTCTCACACCTTCTCCAGTGCGGCAATATTTGCACCCATACCGGAAGGTATACATTTTAGGTACCACCCTCTCACACCTTCTCCAGTACGGCAATATTTGCACCCCTTCCGGAAGGTATACATTTTAGGTACCACCCTCTCACACCTTCTCCAGTACGGCAATATTTGCACCCCTTCCGGAAGGTTTACATTTTAGGTACCACCCTCTCACACCTTCTCCAGTGCGGCAATTTTGCACCCCTTCCGGAAGGTCTACATTTTAGGTACCACCCTCTCACACCTTCTCCAGTGCGGCAATATTTGCATCCCTTCCGGAAGGTCTACATTTTAGGTACCACCCTCTCACACCTTCTCCAGTGCGGCAATATTTGCACCCCTTCCGGAAGGTCTACATTTTAGGTACCACCCTCTCACACCTTCTCCAGTGCGGCAATATTTGCACCCATACCGGAAGGTCTACATTTTAGGTACCACCCTCTCACACCTTCTCCAGTACGGCAATATTTGCACCCCTTCCGGAAGGTATACATTTTAGGTACCACCCTCTCACACCTTCTCCAGTGCGGCAATATTTGCACCCTTCCGGAAGGTCTACATTTTAGGTACCACCCTCTCACACCTTCTCCAGTGCGGCAATATTTGCACCCCTTCCGGAAGGTCTACATTTTAGGTACCACCCTCTCACACCTTCTCCAGTGCGGCAATATTTGCACCCATTACCGGAAGGTCTACATTTTAGGTACCACCTCTCACACCTTCTCCAGTACGGCAATATTTGCACCCTTCCGGAAGGTCTACATTTTAGGTACCACCCTCTCACACCTTCTCCAGTACGGCAATATTTGCACCCCTTCCGGAAGGTCTACATTTTAGGTACCACCCTCTCACACCTTCTCCAGTGCGGCAATATTTGCACCCATACCGGAAGGTCTACATTTTAGGTACCACCCTCTCACACCTTCTCCAGTACGGCAATATTTGCACCCCTTCCGGAAGGTCTACATTTTAGGTACCACCCTCTCACACCTTCTCCAGTACGGCAATATTTGCACCCCTTCCGGAAGGTCTACATTTTAGGTGACACTCTCTCACTCCTTCTCGAGTACGGCAATATTTGCACCCGGAATAGGGGGTCGCTTTCAGGCGTTTGTGTCTGTACATATGACACACACAGATAATGTTTATCTGCCCACAGAATTCATTCATGAGCTGACTACGCGGTCCGAGGGGTTCGCGAGAGCGCTATACAAATATCAAGTGTCGCCATGGCCTCGCTATCGTACCGTATAACCACGCAAAGGCCCGGATTGTGAACGAGGTCGATCTTCCTGCATACCAATAGGCTCTGATGCGAGGACAACATTGTCAGGCCTTAACACGCCAGGATTGAGACATGGGAGACCTGGATTTATCTGAAACAGTTCATACACTGTCATAACGGTTGACTAGAGTTCATTATACCATAACCTAAATTCAACTGGATTTCAAAACAGGAGACAGCTGTATATCCAGCTTATTCTGCCTCCAGCCATGTTCGTACTAACCTGTGATATTTCTGGGATGAATACATATTGATGCTTATAGGTTGATGGGAACCTACTCGGTTGTAACTTCCATTTGAATATTTGCGATTTTACAAGGTTATGATTTGTTTAAGATCGCTAAGGAGACGATTGCCCCAGATGAAGAATATATTCAAGAAGAAAATACTGTTCCTTCTTTTGTGTGCCGTAGGCTGTCTTGTATATGTTTGGATGACGGAAGATCAGGTGTCTTTTGGACCGGTCCTGAATCACAAATGGACATTGGTCAGCGGTTCGGCGGATCTGTACGTCTTCAGCGCGTATTTCACTGGACGTGACCACCTGGTGAGAATCGTCAGCGTAGGTCCCACCTTGAGCAAGGGCAGGGTGGTGTGTTCCTATTACTTCCTGAATGACGTCACGGACAAGGTGGAGGCTGGGGAAGAAGATGTGTCAGGGACCATACATCAAATGAGGGATCATCATGGGATGACGTAAGTATTATCATCATCATTATCATCATCATCTTTTGTTGTTCTTGATGGTGGTGGTCTTCGTCGCCGTAGTAGTAGTAGTAGTAGTAGTAGTAGTAGTAGTAGTAGTAGTAGTAGTAGTAGTAGTGGTGGTGTTCGTTGAGGGTGGTAGTAGTAGTGAGTGAGTGAGTGAGTAAGAGAATGAGTGTGGTTTTACGCCGCATTTAGCAATATTCGAGCAATATCACGGGGGGCACCAGAAATGGGCTTTGCACTTTGTAACCATGTGGAGAATCGAACCCGTGTCTTCGGCGTGACGAGCGAACGCTTTAACCACTAGGTTAGTGATGGTGGTGGAGATAGTGGTAGTAACTGTTAATTACTTTGGGCAACTTGTAAGTTAACAACAGACAGACATTACGCCACGACATCATGTAAACTGAACGTCATCAAAGAACCTTTGATGTATGGGAGTAAAGAAGTGTCCTAGTGAAATGTCAGTCTAATGTCATCATAACATTTTATTGTAATAACTGCAATAATGCCGAGAAACGTCGACAACTACAAAAGATGTCGTTTATAATTGTGCCAGGTTGTATTTTGTTCGGTATTAGTATGTTCAAAACAGTTCCGTTTCGACTGATTTACAATCAAATTTTCACCAGTTGACGACGGTTTCGCATCTCTGATAATCATCTACATTTGTATTCACATCAACAAACACATGCAGGTCTAGTTCACTCCAACCAGCACTTGTTGAACATTTGACTGTGAAAGGTCTTCCATATAGCCTCAACGCTTGGCTGGTTGATGCACACTATACAGTGCCCTGTGATTCTATTTACAGTCACAACGAGCTTGACAACCACTGAATGGGTTTTATAGAAATAACATTGATTTCACGGTATAATGCACCTTGTTCTCACAGTCGACTAGTCAGTGTAGACATCTCTGTGTAACCTGCCGGGGGGGTGGGTGGGGGGTTGTCTCTATTCGCCTACATCTCAATTCGAAGTAGAATTTTGTTGTTACAGTAGATCTATAGTCTCCTTGGTGTTGTGCCGGTGTTGTTATAAGGGATTAAGTCACTGGGTGCTGTAGAAATTCTGAACTATGTTATGGAATATAATTTCCATTTGAGTTTAGCTCACTGAGATTATAATGTTACTGATTAATGTGTTCATTCAACCAGTGCCATACAGTACATACATGTCTTACATATTGTATAAATACCATCAAGTTACAATAGCTAGTATCATTTTCACAATGGCTCATGGACAGTTAAGAGTTCAATTACAAGTTCCTTCCTACTTCACGCGGTGGTACTTCCTACTTCACACAGATACCGTAGATGCACTCTTATTTCAGTTTATATTCTGGTACAGTCAAGAGCAGTTGGTCAGCTGATCGGAGACTTCTAGAGGGCTTGTAGTTGACAAACATCTCCTGAAGATAGGCAGGGGCAGTGTTGTGAAGGGACTGGTAGACTAAAGGAAGCATCTGAAAGTCAATCCTGTCGCGGATCCTCAGTCAATGCAGTGACTTTAGGCTTGGGGTGATATGAGAATGCAGCTTCCTGGATATGATACGGGCAGCTCTGTTCTGTATCATATGGAGTCTGTTCAGCTCATCTCCACGAGTAGGCTGTTAGATTAATCCAGACGAGACAGGATCAGTGATCTGGCCAGAGTGGCTGTAGTTTCAGCTGTAAGAAGATAAAAATGAAAATGACATTTGTTTGTAGAGATAGTCTACTTGCTTTTTTCATAGTAAGAGAAGAGTCAATAAAAACATCAAGGTTTTTTCATGGGGAGAGATAGAAATCAGACTGTCAAATCTTCAGTTGGGTTAGCCGGGATTTTTGCTGTCTAGATGGTGTGCAATGATGATGGCCTCTGTCTTTTCATCATTTAATTTAAGCATGTTGGTTGACATCCTGGATTTGACATTGTTAAGACAGCTTTCCATGTTAATCAGAGATGCCATCTGGTTTGCTAAGATGGGTCTGAAACTGTCAGCCAACTGGGAGTTATGGGTGTTACACTGATGAAGCACATGCTGCTCTGATGTCCCAGTGGTCTTGCGTACATGGTGAATAAGATGGGACCCAGCACAGACCCTTGAGCGACGCCACAAACCAGAACTTCAGTATAGGACATAGATTTGTTAATGTGGACAAACTGTTTCCTATCTGCAAGGCACACACACGCACACACACACACGCACACACACACACACACACATACATACATTACACTCAGGTAACTCTTCGCTGGTTTATGATTAAACAATATCTCTACCGTTACCGTTAATTCATGTCGTCAATTGAAATTATAGCCAGTCGATAAATCTGGAAGGTTTTGTCACGGTATTCGTTTCCACAATACCTTTTCAGGATCTGATGGACAAGTCGATAAAAGTGTCAGACCTTTATTACATTTCTGTTGTAATTGTTTGTTTTCGAAGGTGATGTTCCTGCATAGGATCCGAATTGTTTTTTTCGAATTATGTGCCATCTTTTTGTGTTTTGAGTGCGGCCCCCTTTTCAAGTCAAAAGGCTGTCTTCGCATGTAATACAATAAACAATATAATGTTCAGGAATTTGTAAGAAGCGGTCGTAAGAAATATGTCATTCTTATCTAATTAATGTCGCCCATTTCTATTCCAGATTCAACACCCTTGAAATAACCTGTCCTTTAAAGAAGGGAAGCTATCCACATTTTATTGGGCTCTCCGCTACAGGGAAACCAAGTAATTACTTGAAGATCAACTACCCACCTACACGAAGTTTTAAAGCCAAATTCACAGTCTGCATACCCCCGATTCATTCAAATTTCAGCCACACGACAGAAGTCGTTCAAACTCTTGAATTTGACCAGATGCTAGGTGCAAGCGACTTCACCATCTATTACACGTCTGCATCACCGGAAGTGGATGCTGTTCTGCGCATGTACAGAGATGTCGGGGTGGTGAAAGTAGTCCCGTGGTTTATACCAGATGTTGATGTACATTATCATGGACAGATCGCTTCCGTTCGAGACTGTTTCTATAGGAACATGCATACGTCGGATTATATTGTGTTCAAGGATCTTGATGAGATACTACTGCCATACAAACACCGAACATGGCAGCAACTCTTGGACAACATCCTTGAACGCCACTCACGAGCAGGAGCATTCATCTTCCGGAATTCATTCATACATAAACTCGGTCCAGACGTCACGGATAGCATGAAGAGTGCTGATATTCAAATTGCAAAAACATTCGGCCTCTACACGCTTCTTAAACGGCAGCGTCAGACAGAGATTTGGAAATACAACCTACGTGCTAAATTCATTGTTAACCCCTTGAGAGTACATAATGTAGAAATACACGAGGTGAAGGATATAATGGAAGGATATACTCGTGAAGTGGTTGATGAACCATTGGGTCTACTATTCCATTATAAACAATTTACTGATGCAAAGATCAAGACTGTGAATGATCCTGCGGCTGCACGGTATCGCGAGGAACTGATAAACAGGGTCAAAAATACCTATCACGTTTTGAATACTCAGTATTGAAAGAACACACTCACTGACTCCACATGAAGAAAAGAATGTGAGAGAACACGGAGTTCAATATCTTTACATTGACTTACACTGTGCTCAATCATTCTGATGCACCTCAACATCTAAAGTCTCTACTCTGCCCATACCATCCAAGTCGACAACTAAGATCAGCCAACAGCAGTTTACTAGGAAAAGGAAAACCAAGTTCTATGGATAGTCAACTTCTTTATTGCAACGAGTGCGACGTTTCGGTGTAGATAATTGCTTGATAACGGTGTAGTACCTACACCGAAACGTCGCACCTATTGCAATAAAGAAGTTGACTATCCATAGAATTTGGTTTTCCTTCATCTTTACAACTTCTCTGAAAAAAGCAATTTACTAACTGTACCCGAAGCACAAACAAAAATGGCTGATAGGTAATTTTCTGTGTCAGCTCTGCGACTCTGGACATCAAGCAGGCGGCAGACAATCAAACTTTCAGGAAACTCCTAAAAACGTATTTGTTCAGACAGGCATATGCTGACCTGCTAGACTGTAACAGCGCCGTTGAGCAGGTGCTGCAGAAATGAAATATATTATTATAGTATGAGGCTACTCTGTCTTGTCAATGTTCCGATGACGTGGCAGTACCAGGATACGAATTTCTAAAAGTAGTGCACAGGTGGCCCATCATTCGTGACCAACTCGTGTTATTCCGGGACACGCCGGAGGTTACGGAAAGGGGCGAGTGGTGACGAATGGGGGCCTGTATCCACAGCTTTACGAGCTGTCGTAAAGGTATAGTTCGCGATAGGCGTTACACGAATATCGTAGCGCTTCGAACACTTTTTTTAATCGGACCCAAAAATTTAAGCGAGTGAAAGAATAGTATGGTTGTCCGTTAGCGATTGGATTATGTCTGTGAAAATGAAATATTTGACACTTAGATCCATTTATATTGCATTTTGTGATCTCGGGCAACATTGACGCCGTCCAAAACTGTACATTCAACTGTAGAATGAATATGGGTTCGTTTTCCAGTTGGTTGGTTGTCGTTGTTGTTGTTGTTGTTGTTTAACGCCGCATTCAGCAGTAATCCAGCTATATGGCATCGGCCTGTAATCCACTTACAAATTCGCCACAATTATGATCCTTGTCAAGCCATATTTGTTTGTTTATTGTTTAAGGCCGCACCTCGCAATACTCAAGCTACATTACACCGGTTTGGACCTGACAAATCAATGATTGATGTTATGAGCGAAAACGCCCAATCTGTCAGTGAACAATAACAACTAATTAACCGAGAATGACCATCCGATCCACAAAGTGACCCGCAAAGTGGACATCCGATCCACAAAGTGGATTTATAAAGATAAGCCTGGCTTGCTGGAGACCAGTTCTAGCCTGGAAGTACTGGGAGCCGACTTTGGATCTTGAGTCGTTTTGTATAGGATAAACAGTCCATATACGATCATTTAAAAAATACAAGTTTCGTGTTGGCAATACAAATGATATTAAAAAATTTTATATGAAATTATAATAATACTTTCTTTTTTCCTAAGATGAAAGATTTTATTCTAATCGTTTGTTTGAATTGTATACATGTGCATATCTGCAATAAATAGTCATTGCCAGTTGCATCAAAAGCTGTATACACTAATACAAATTGACAATTTCCATCTTCTGTGCCTTGATAGTCTAAAGTAGGACACTGCAACACCAACACCCACTGTACATGCTCACAAGTCTTCCACAGTTCACTTAGGAATCTCAACCTCGATAAACTTCCAGCATCCGTAGCGAAATGTATTAATAATTGAATTCCATGAGCAAACTCTGTCTTCCTTGACACAACAGCTTCTACAATTCTACATGTCGGTAAGATTTGCATGCATGCAATTGTCCCCAGCAGTAATATTGCTAATAAAGGCGTTGGTAATAGCACATATCCCAATTTTGATTAAAATATTAACAGCACAATCCTTCAACATGCTTATTGTTTGAACATATTTTATTCAATGTTGAAAGGGATTGGGCACAAGATATGTAACATATTATCGCCCGCTCCCACCAGAAACATAAACAATAATGAATGGAAGTAATGAATGGACATGATAATATACTCATGCCAATAATGGTTGTCACCCCCTTCATTATGACAACCATTATTGGCATGAGTATATTAAGACATATTAATCGAAGCGCTTACTTCATACAATGTATTTATGCACATGACTAAAGATATTTTGATTAATAGTATTTGGCAGAACTGGGTTGCCGAAAAGAATGGTATCAATGTCTAAGTGAACTATTAATAGTACAAAGTCTTGCTTCAGCTCAAAACGGCAGCTGACAAATTTTGGACATTTTAAAAAGAAATGCTTAGCATCTTCCACCGGAGCACCACAATTGCAAGCTTTACTCTCTGATAAATTAACACGAAAAGATCTGCATGTAATGAACTACACGAATGTCTTAACTTCGTGTGTAGTATATTTGTCTTTCTTTCACCAAATAGAAAATATTTTGGAACTTCGTCAATTTTTTCAGATAACTTTAATTTAAACGATGGTAATGAATTTGTACATTTTGTTGTACAGGAGAGAACATTCCAGAAACTTGCAGAATCATAAATAAATGACTACTGTAGAATTGAGGTGCGAAATTTAGGAATAGCCAAGTCGGATTTGTTACCCAAGTTGTATCCGGAAATGGTTTCAGTGAAAGGTGGAAGTAAATCTATCAGGTAATCAGCATATTAACAATTTTGTTAAATGTATAGAGTTTTCTTTGTGTTCGTCTAACTTTCAGTGGTAACCAACCAGTTTCACAGTATAAACTTGAAGCGGATTTAGGCAATGCTTATTGAACTTCTTTATTTCCTAACGCGCTTGTGTTTGGATTTTCCGACCGCTTCACTTAGTTTAACAACGGTTCAGCCTACAAAGTGCCAAGACTCACGTATGTGCTAAAGGTTTTAATTTGGCATACAAACGATATTGTTTTACCGCCCAACTCTCCCCTACACTCGACAATCGACATATGTATCATAGTTTAATTATAGTTTATTATGTACGCACTTGTTAAACCCGGGTTTATTAACACAACTGATCCAAAATACAAATGAATTAAAAGAATAAAAAGTAGAACAATCTGCTTATTTACCTCCCTGATACGGTGTGATCGAGCTCATAGCGGGCGCTTAACGAAACTTCCCGCACGAAAGCTTTGAACAGTCATGGGTTCTTCAGATGTGATGTCATTGTGTGATGACGTCATCACGATCTTCCTGACTGTAAGTAATGATAATGATGATACTGATAATTAATTTATATATCGCTGTTTCCAAAAAAGCGTTTGCACAACGGCGCTGAAGAAGAAAGTCTGAAAGACTTTGAGAGGGATATTGATGGATTTTTAAGGCTTTTTTTTAAAAGTCTTTACAGTTGATTTCCCTAAACCATTTACTTCTCACATTATTTCAACACCGCAAGCTCAGTTGTTGTTGTTTTTTTTATCAATAACGAAAATAACTTCTGGTCAATATTTCATCCTAACCAAATTCAATAATGTCATAGACAGAGCATTATTGTTAAAAGCGGCGAATTCCGATGCCCTTATCATCACTGTTTGTTAGTGATTAGAACAGTGATTTTTTTTTTTAAATTGTATTTTGTTTGTTTGTTTTGTTTTGTTTTTTGTTGTTGTGTGTGTGTGTGTGTGTGTGTGTGTGTGTGTGTGTGTGTGTGTGTGTGTGTGTGTGTGTGTGTGTGTGTGTGTGTGTTGTTGTTGTTGTTGTGTGTGTGTGTTTTGAAATGATAATCGTACACGTGCAAATTTCACCTCACACACCAATCATCTTTCAAGAGCGATTACTGTACAAACAACTATGGTCATAAGGAAGTGCAACTGGTGATGCACTCTCAAAACGTTCATTAATTTTTATAAACGTAAGTTAAATATGAAGTTCTCCTACTTTTGTGGAAGAGTATATTAAGGAGTGGGATTTGTCAGCGTTTGTTAAATGACGTCAGTATTTTACTAAGGCTTCATTAGATGTTTGTAAAATCGTTCATTTTGATGTTGGTCCGGGGCATAAAAGGATCGTCCATTTACCGCTGTGATATCGATCACAACGGAAGGATTGTTGTACTTTATTTCTGAACAGAAGAACTGCCAAGGAGGTTGGATAGATTATAAACAATTGGCGTGTAATGAATGGATTAATGAAATTATGAACAAGTACTGAATGATCAAGAACAAGCAATGTGACGATCATCAGATCAAGAACAAGCGATGTGACGATCATCAGATCAAGAATAAGCCATGTGATGATCATCAGATCAAGAACAAGCGATGTGATGATCATCAGATCAAGAACAAGCAATGTGACGATCATCAGATCAAGAACAAACAATGTGACGATCATCAGATCAAGAACAAGCGATGTGATGATCATCAGATCAAGAATAAGCCATGTGATGATCATCAGATCAAGAACAAGCCATGTGACGATCATCAGATCAAAAACAAGCCATGTGATGATCATCAGATCAAGAACAAGCGATGTGATGATCATCAGATCAAGAACAAGCGATGTGATGATCATCAGATCAAGAACAAGCCATGTGATGATCATCAGATCAAGAACAAGCCATGTGACGATCATCAGATCAAAAACAAGCCATGTGATGATCATCAGATCAAGAACAAGCGATGTGATGATCATCAGATCAAGAACAAGCCATGTGATGATCATCAGATCAAGAACAAGCCATGTGGTGATCATCAGATCAAAAACAAGCCATGTGACGATCATCAGATCAAGAACAAGCGATGTGATGATCATCAGATCAAGAACAAGCGATGTGATGATCATCAGATCAAGAACAAGCCATGTGATGATCATCAGATCAAGAACAAGCCATGTGACGATCATCAGATCAAAAACAAGCGATGTGATGATCATCAGATCAAAAACAAGCCATGTGACGATCATCAGATCAAGAACAAGCGATGTGACGATCATCAGATCAAGAACAAGCCATGTGATGATCATCAGATCAAGAACAAGCGATGTGATGATCATCAGATCAAGAACAAGCAATGCGATGATCTTCAAATCCTGAAAAAGCGATGTGATGATTAACCAAACTCGCTGTCCTGAAAACAGGGTGGGGTAGCCTTGTGGTTAAAGCGTTCGTTCGATCGTCACACTGAAGACCCGGGTTCGATTCCCCACATGGGTATAATGTGTGAAGCCCATTTCTGGTGTCCCCCGCTGTAGGGCTGGGACGGGTCCAAATTTTCTACCCGGGTACCCGACCCCCTATTACCCAACCCGACCCGGGTACCCGTTATAACACTAATTGCGAGTTCTTCTCCTTCAATAAAATCAGTTATGACTGAGATTAAGAGTGGCGTCTGGAAATATTTTGAATACGTCACATCATGCACAAAGACAAAATGCACTTTGTGCACAGTGCAGCTAAGTCAGAAAGAAGGGAGTATGTAATCGATGTGGAAACATCTGAACAACAAACATCCCTCCGTAACAAACCAGGAGCTAAAACAAATGTCGTTCCAACAATCTGCAGGCGAAATACAATTGAATGTATAAATAAAAAGTGTATACCATTAAACTAACAAGTAAACAATGTAATGTAAACATAAACTTTTCAAAGTAAATACCTCTCTCCGTCTCCCGTGGATTCATAATCCAATCACAATAGTCAGACAGACAGACAGATTGTTTACGTCTCACCAAATGTTTATTAAAATAAACAATAATACATTATAAAAACATTATATATGGAGTTATGAGAGACGGTTGATAATTAAATATCACAGAGCAATATATAGAAAGTATGAGTAGATAAAATGACAATTGAACTTTAAAGAAATATATACAAAATATGAACATGAAACGTTGAACTTATTTATATAAAATTTGGCGGCGTCTTAAATAGGGGTGGGTATTGGAGAGAATTCTCATGTTGCGATATATTGCGATATGTATGGCAATATTTTGCAATAAGTAATTTTAAACAAAAAACTACTTATAATCGAGTTAATGCTTGATTTATAAAGCATGAACACAACAAAAACACAATCCTTGATTAAACTTTATTAAAAACATTTAATCATGACAAAATAAAAATGTAAATTTTGGCACAAATGAAACAAGGAAATATCCGAAGGTCTCCGAGCGTTACGAAGTTTTCCGAATGCAAGTCAAAATACCGGTTTCGCAATACGTATCGTTTTCATGTTTGAACCGGTTCATACCGGTAAACTGGTAATATTGCGCAGCCCTAGTCTTAAAAGGGTTTAAAGCAGTTTTGGCACACACGTTTATAAGATCTTGAGTGCTTAACAAGTGATAACTTTTCAGGTTCCGATAAGAGGGTAAAACGTGGCATGAAAAACTTTGCTGATGTTAAAAGGTCTTCTCTTAAATCGCCATGAAGTGGAGATTTCAATAAAACGTGCTGTTCCGCTTCAACTCGATTTGGGCAGTGAAAACATCTTCTATCTGTAAGTTCAATGCCTTCATAACGCCGGTTTCTATATGCGAAGGCGCTGTACCCGTCCTGAACAAATCGAGGGCACGTCTGTGAGACTTGGAAGTGTTAAAACATAGGCTTCTGTTATATCGAATATCGATTTATGGATTTTGTAGCACAGGCCCTCGTGTCTTTGCGAGGATTAAAGATTTTTTTATAAATATATCAAAATTTGAGATGACCCATGCACATTTGAAACGCTTAACAGTACAATACATCATGCATTTACTGTGAACCATTTCGAGTCGGGGGTCATCTCAAAACAATATTTTATACATCTTTAATCCTTGCAAAAACACGAGGGCCTGTGTTCTGTAGTGCCTGAGTTTGTTTTCCCCCGATCCCTGTTTTGCGTTCTCCAGGTGTAATGATTTTTTTCTTGCTCTTATAAAAGCTTGTAACGATAGTTCGTCAGTCTTTTACAGTGATGACGTTGTTTAAAAGAGCTTATTTGGTGATTTCCAATGTGTTCATTCGCCGGTAAAAAGCTGAGTGCCAAGGCTTGTGTCTGTTCAGTGCTTGAGTATTTTCCCAATATAAAACATAGGGCTTTATACGTTCTTGATCCATATTCATCATGCTCCTTGAGTAACGAATCAATCATACACGTATATCTTGTCGTACACTTAGTTGTCACTTGCAGGGTGTTAAACAATATCGTTTGTTTCCAAGACTAAAACCTTTAGCACATACGTGAGTCTTGGCACTTTGTTATTGAACCGTTGCAAAACTAAGTGAAGCGATCGGAAAATCCAAACACAAGTGCGTTAGGAAATAAAGAGTGAGTGTGTGAGTTTAGTTTTACGCCGCACTCAGCAATATTCCAGCTATATGGCGGCGGTCTGTAAATAATCGAGTCTGGACCAGACAATCCAGTGATCAACAGCATCAGCATCGATCTGCGCAATTGGGAACCGATGACATGTGTCAACCAAGCCAGCGAGCCTGACCACCCGATCCCGTTAGTCGCCTCTTACGACAAGCATGGGTTACTGAAGGTTCATTCTAACCCGGACCTTCAAAGAAGTTCAATAAGCATGTTGAAGGATTGTGCTGTTAAATATTTTATTCAAAATTCGATATGTGCTATTACCAACGCCTTTATTGTGAATTATAAAGCATGTTGCGTCTTTAACACGTATCTTGTTTCAGTTAGTTTTTCAAATCTTCGAAACACTTTTGTGAATTTTAGAGGAATGTAAAAACAATGAGTGAGTGAGTATGCTTTTACGCCGCTTTTAGCAATATTCCAGCAACATCACGGCGGGGGACACCATAAATGGACTCCAAGCATTGTACCCATGTGGGGAATCAAACCTCGCCGAAACCTTTAACCACCAGGCTACTCCATCGAAACATAACAATTTAAATCACGTTTTAAAGCAGTGGTAGAGTGAGTGAGTGGGTTAAAATTTAACGTCACCTCGGCAATATTTCAGCCATATAGTGACGAGAAATGTTGGGCATACACAGTAAATACAAGGAGGTAAATAACCAGTCATCGATGGACTGTAAGATAACTAAAGTATCACAGATATGGATTTAAAACTTGCATGGAAAACTAAAACATTTTCATTAAAGAAGACAATACAATATAAAACACGGGCTATAGATCGCCAACAACTGAAGGTAGATCACCATACTAGGAACCATGGGGACTTACATTACTTTAGCTACCTGCATGGACCCTAGTTGGATTTATAACATCCCTTCAGCCGCTGGCGATGGTAGGAAGATTTAGCCGAAATTTAAAATCACAAAAATACTACGATTAAAAAGTATGGATGAGCGAAATTGACTTGGAACGTTTTGGGGACTTACGTATCCTCTCAGGAGGACAATAATTTTACGCTACTTCAGCCCCCTTTGAGGATACAGCCACAAACAATCTAAGTAAATAATCTGAACTACCAATTTTAAAACTTTCTATTTACAAAACATATATCAAAATTCATTTAACAAATCTATCTCTTTTAAAAAATCAATGATTAAATGATAATTAACATTATTAAAAAGGTCCCTTATTGTTATGATATTGCAATATTTATCCCTTATGATGGAGAATTCAACACAGTAGCAGTGGTAGAGCTAGAAGAAAGGAAGATGTTAGCAAACACGTTGCCGCAGTGTTTCTTTAACACCTGCAGCGGCTAAACACAAGGCGTGTACAATGCATCAATATAGCCATCCGTATATCTTTATGAGTGGCTCACTTCCCGCAGCATCCAGCGAGAGAGCGAGCGAGCGAAATTATATATATATACTTTTAAAATTATTTTTTTTCACATGTAATGGAACTGTTTTTACGAAATTGTAGCGAGTGAGTGAGTTGTGTTTTACGTAGCTTTTCTCAATATTCCAACATTATCACGGCGGGGAACACCATACATGGGGTTCAAACAATGTACCCATGTGGGGAATCGAACCTGGGTCTTCGGCGTAACGAGCCAACGCTTTAACCACTGGGCTACCCCACCGCCAATACGAAATTGTAAAGTTAAAACCACTTGGTGACGTTCTGTCAAACATATGACGTAGATCGAGTCACTTTGCCTAGGAAATTGTTTTTAGTAAATACAGATGAAGAATGGTCACGTTTTCCTGGTGTTTATGGGTATGAACCGGTTAGAGTATGTTTCTGTCACACTAGGGTATAAATTTCCACAGCGGTGAGGAAAATCGAGATGGGAACACGTTGTATTTATTTCTGGTCGGAGCAGCGTTCGAAATAGCTGCTGGCCCACTAGCCAAATGCTAACTGATTGTGAATCGGGCCAGTAACATATTGTTAAAGCTATCCCGAGTTGCTCGCTGAAAATCTCAGATAATTTGTTCTTTATTTAATTTACATGAATATGGTGAAGTAAATTATTAAGGGGTTAAAAGTCCGTCCGCAAAAGATTCCTGATATTATTATCTCTTGTCATACGAAGATCGCTATATTAAAAGAATATTAATAGCAATATGGAACAAGTTTTTATGGATAACAACTTCTTTATTTCGTGAGTGCGACGTTTCGATACAGATTCTTGTACCGTTGTCAAGCAAGAGTGATACATGAAGTGGAGGAGCTGCATATTTATACTGTGTATAACAATGAAACTACATACATTGTAATTGACAAAGGAAACAACATAATTGCCATAATTGGTTAAGCAGTAAGCTGATGAAGCCAGTGAGTACACAAAGGATAGTGAATGGAAGCCAGAGATGTATAAATACAGGAGTGGTACAATGAAGGAGATGTTTATACAATAGGTGCGATGTTTATACAATAGATTGGGCTTGGTGGAGGAGTGGATCATAAGCTGATGGAATGAAGTATCCTTGGTCACGGTTGATGGTGGGCTTATGGCGTTTGATGTGAATGGCTTCGGTGAGCTTGCGTTTAGTGAAGTCCGTTTGGTTGTTGGCGAGAATGGTGAAGTCGGACCACTCAACAAACCTACAAGAAGAAATTGAACACCTAAGGAAAGTCTTTGTAGAACGCAACCACTACCCACCTGAAATAGTCAACAGAACCATCGAAGCAACGCTTTCACCTCCTGCCAAAAGATCTAAACCAGAATCAGCCCCCATCAAG